CTTGGTTTGCTCCTGAATCTAGAGACAATACTGACTGCATGAACAATATTTGGTCTTGTGTTTGTGAGATAGATGAGTGAGCCAACAAGACTTCTATAAGAGGATGCATCCGCTTCTTATGCTCCATCATTTTGTGTCAAATTTTCATTTGGAACCATGGGAGTAGCCACCGGTTTGCATTTTGTCATACCCAATGTTTTCAAGAGGTCTTCTATAAATCTTTCTTGGGAAATAATAATTTCTCTATTTGAATGTTTTACTTGAATCCCAATAAAATATCTCATGAGGCCCAAATCCGACATTTCAAATTCCTTTATCATACTTTTCTTAAATTCTTCCATCATTTTTTGGTTAGTACCAGTAGAAATCAAATCATCAACATAAAGACAGACTATTAGAAAGTCATGCGTACCCGTTTTTTTACATAGAGTAACGGTTCACTGGGACTTCTTTCAAACCCTTCTTGGCAAAAGTACCTGTCAATCCTACTTTTCCATGCTCGTGGTATTTGCTTCAATCCATATAAGGCCTTTTAAAGTTGATATACTTTATTTTCTTTTCCTTTTTTCACATATCCTTGAGGTTGTTCAATATACACTTCTTCGTCAAGTTCTCCATTTAAAAATGTGGATTTTACATTTAACTGAAATACTAGAAACCTCATTTGTGTAGTTACTGCCAAGACAGTTCTAATAGTTTCCCTTCGTGCAATTGGGGCAAAAGTTTCAGTATAGTCAATACCTGGTTGTTGAGCATAGCCGTTTGCCACTAACCGGGCTTGTGTTTTTTAATTGAGCCCTCTTCATTATGTTTTGTCTTGTAGACTCATTTTAGTCCTATGACTTCTTTGTTCTTGGGTTGGTCCATTAGCTCCCATGTTTGATTTTTCTCTATTACTGTAATTTCTTCTTCCATGGTTTTTATCCATTCTTCATTCTTCTTTTCTTATGGTTTCTTCGAATTTTTATGGCTCACTAGCAAAAAAGGAAATACCACATGATTCATAAATTTCTCTTTGTGAACGTACCTTTCCTAGTGGTGCCTCAGAGTCGGATGAGTCTTGACTTGGTGCGCCTGGAGATGGTGTTTTTGGGCTTGATATCGAGCTTGGAAGTTGAGAGCATGCTCTTTCTTGTGGAGTATTTTATTCTTTTCTTATTATTGTTATTGGTTCTTGGCCAGATTTTTCTTCCCATTTCCATTCACTTTTCTCATCAAATACAACATCTCTAGAGATTACCAATTTATTTGTTTTTGGATTGACAAGGCAATATGCTTTTGAAACTTCACTATATCCGATAAAGATATACTTTTCGTCTTTTTCATCAAATTTTTCTATATTTTGGGAAGTTCTTTCAAGAAAAAACCTTAAAATAATTTATGTTTGGTTTTCTTTTATACCATGCCTTAAAAGGTATTTTATTTTGAAGATATTTAGTAGGAGACCTATTAAGAATATAGACAGCAGTATAAACAGCTTCAGCCCAAAATTTATTGGGAAGATACTATCCTTTTAACATACTTCGGGTCATTTCAACAATTTTCCTATTTCTTTGTTCTACTACTCCACTTTATTGTGGAGTATATGTTGTTGTCAACTCTCTTCTAATTCCATTCTTTTTGCAGTAATTCCAAAATTTTGTTGATGTGAATTCTCCTCCTCTATCTGTCCTCAAGGATTTTAATGGAAAACTACTTTGTTTTTCTACATTAGTTTTAAACTCAGTAAAACCTGAAAAAGCTTCTAATTTTTGGGCCGAGAAAAATACCCATATCATCTTGTTGTAATCATCAACAATTAAAAAAAAAATCTTTTTTTTTATTAAAGGTTTCGGTTTGAGTTGGTCCACAAATATCTAGCATGAACCAATTACAATGGAGCTCTAGCTCTCCAAGATGATTCTGAAAATGGTAATCTGTGTAATTTTCTATAAATACAACCTTCACATATTTTCTTTTCTTTATTTATTGGTGGTAATCCGATTACCATACCTTTCTGACCCATCAATCTTAAACTTTGAAAATTTAAATGCCCAAATCTTAGATGCCATAGGTAGGATTTATCAATATTTTAAGAACTTAGCGCATAATTTTCACATGTTAGCATAACCATAGGAAATACCTTATTTGGGGTCATTTTTACCTTGGCTATGGTCGGTCTAATTGCTTATAAAAAATTATACATTTATCTCTATTGAAATTGATTGAATATCCATTTTTCATCAATTGCCCAACACTTAAAAGATTATGTGTCAAGCTAGGAATATAAATAACATCATGAATAAATATAGGGCAATCGCCTTTAGGTTTTATGGCAATTATTCATTTTCCTTCAACATTTTGGAGTTTTCTATCTCCTAACTTGACTTGTGAAGTGATTTTTTCATTTATTTCAACAAAACTGCTCTTATTTCCTGTCATATGATTGCTACAGCTACTATCCAGGTAACAAACATCTTGTGAATTTTGTTGGGCATTCATGCATGAATAGAACATATGACCTGTATTATTATCTTCAGAAAAATTTACTTCATTTTTCTGAATTTGATTTTTCTTTTGAATCCAGCAATCCCTTTGAGAGTGATTTGGGATTCTGCATTGTTGACATTTATATCAGCAATTCTTTGATTCATAACCTGATTTTTTACAAATAATACAATAAGATTCATATCTATTTTTTTAATATAAATTTCTCTGGCTGTTCATATTTCTTCCTCTTCCTATTTCTTGGTCTCTTAAAAAAATAATTCTTCCATGAACTCTTTGATAATTTTGAAATGTCCCCCTATCTCTTTTTTCTTAAAAATTTTTCTTTTCAGAAATTGTAACCTTTAACTGAAAGGCCTGTTCCATATTCTTCAAATCTATTTATCCTTTGTTCATGTGCTTTCAAATACCCACTTAATTCTTGTAAAGATAATTTAGATCAATCTTTTGATTCTTCTATAGAAGCTACAACATGGTCAAATTTTGCATGTAGGCTTCTAAAAAAAAATTTGAACTATTTTTTTATCATAAATATCTTCCCCGTAATGTTTGATCTGATTTATTATTCATGTAACTATAGTGAAGAAATTATGAAATGTTTCACCATCTTTCATCATCAAATTATCAAAATCTCTCCATAAATTTTGGAGTTTAATAGAAATTATTTTTTCAGATCCTTGAAATTCATTTTCAAAATTTCCCATGCTTCTTTTGATTTTGAGGCTATTTTTATTCAAAGAAAGATAGCTTTACTTACCGCTTGTTGGATGAAGAGTAGGGATTTTGGATCTCTCCTCTTATTTTCCTTGTACTTGTTCTGCCTTGCTTGCGACCATGATTCCAGCGCTGCTACATTTTTTGGCACTGAATAGCCTTCTTCCACAATGTCCCACAAATCTTGTGAGATAAAAAGAGTCTTCATTTGGAGACTCAATGACTCATAGTCTTCTCCATCTAAAATAGGAATTAGGTTTTTGGTATAATTCATACCCGAAGGGGAGGCCATAGGGAATGGGTTTTTTTTTTTTAGGAAGCACAGGGATATGGCTATGATACCAAATGTTAGAAATATGCAAGCAGAATTGGCTCAAAAATATTTTACTATTATGAAAACAAGTGGGGTTACAAGGAAGCAATATGGTCTTTGGAGACCACATATATATTTTTAAATCTCGCTTTCTTTCACTACTCTCTCAATATGGGGCTTGGGAGATTATTTCTATTTTACATGAATGGATGGAGACAACTTCTTGGGAAGCTCTCTCTTTCATACGAATAGATTGATACAACATATCTTCAAGTCCCCTTTTTATAGGCTTGTTTATGACGGTGGAGATAATCCTAGATTGGCAGTGATAGAAAGATATAAAGAGAGAAAAAATGGCGGTAGAGAGATAGAGAGGAGTGTAGAGTTTTCTAGAGAGAGAGAGAGACAAATTATACAATTTAACAGGTAGTGCACAATAAACAAGTGATATGGAACACCTATGAAGTTGTTACTCACGACACCCAGTTGAAAAATCAGAATTATTTGAATTGATTGTTTTGCTTATGGCCCTATTCTCCTCATGTTCTAGGCACACCCATAAAGGGAACTTGTTTCGCAGGTTCTGTTAATTGGTTGAAGTCATGAGGAATTAGAAGTCACCCAGTAAGAAACTGGTTTAACCGGTTCCCTTTATTGAGGAACATAATAAATATGTGGCAGGGAATGTGAATTAAAAATTATATTATTGATTAACAAATTGAAGACAATAATATATTTTATTTTTTAGAAAATGAAATCAAAAGTAATTAGGACATTTAGATTTGACATGCATTTTGAGGAATTAGAAGCCACCTGATAAGAAACTGGTTTAACCGGTTGCGTTTACGGAGACACATAATAAACATGTGGTGGGAAATGTGAATTAAAAATTATATTAATGATTCACAAATTGAAGACATTAATATATTTTATTTTTTAGAAAATGAGATCAAAAGTAATTAGAACATTTAGATTTGACATGCATTTTGAATTTTTATGTACATTGTCATCCCCTCACAATGTTTCAGGCACACCCATGAAGGCAACTTTTTTAGCAGATTTGCATAATTTGTTGAATAAATTGATAATTAAAAGATACAAGGCAAAACTTAAGAAATATACCAATACATGCCAAGACTAAAGAAATAATTAACTCTCAAAATGGACTTTCCAAAAAGAAACACACTGAGATCAAAGCAAAGATGTTTGAACCAGTTAGTGAAGTCGTTCTTTTAGGAAGTTAAAAAAATAGCAATTATTTTGGTGAAATAGAGGAAAAATGGCTTTCACACATTGAATATAGTTTCACAGAAGCATTATCTTGATGTTTCCTACTAGTTTTCTTTATGCTATGGACAAGATTGATTCATATGATAGTTGTGGTAGTTTTTTGTTTGCAGTTATTTTATTGAAAGTGGTAGAAGTAGGTATTACTGAGGAATTATTGTGGAGTGTTTTTTACATCATCATGGTTTGTTACTTGCAGAGCTTTTATGAGAAGTCAGCTAATGGAGGGAATGGTGGGTTATCTACAACGTATAATTCTCTGCTGACATTCGAGATACATTTAAATTGTCTGGAAGTATCAGAGATCATGGGTTTGGTTTGTCTGTTGAAGAAGTTCCCAAATCTAAATTCTCTTTGCATTAAGGTGAACATGATTCTCATAATAGGTGGCATCTTTTCTTCTTTTGGTTTCTTTTCCCTATATGGTCTTAGACAAGTTCATCACTGCTTCCATGTTTTGACCTTGTCGTCTTTTGTTTTGGATTTCTTGTTCTTCTTTTCTCTTTTGAAGGATCTTGAGAAGGAGCTAAAACCTGAGGGAAAATTGACTAAGAGGAACTTGGAGGCGTTGAATTCTGATGCTAGGTCTTGCTTGGCTCACGTCAAAAAATTAGAGCTAGAAATAGCTCCTTACTGTGATGAAACTCTTGAAATAATTGAGTTTTTTCTGTTGAATGCTGGGGTATTGGATTTGCTTTTGATCATTATCTGGAGTCTTGAGGATCAAGAGGAGAGATCAAAGATAGAGGAGCGGTTGAATTCGTTTCCTAGAGCTTCTTCTCAGGCTAAGATCGTGGTTGCTGAGATTTGTTAAAATATCACATATTTAAATTACTATGTTGGTTACTGGATATTTCTTGATGGAAACTTGTTTTCTTTTCTTTGGGTAAGCGGAAGACACTTATTCAAGTGGCAGTATACATTTTTTTAATCTTGATGTTTTCTCTATCGAAATTTTGATGCCTTTGAAGGACATGACTATATGGTTTCTTTGCTTTTCATCAGCAGTAAAGACATGTAGAAGTGGAGTTCGTTGGATTTTTGGAAAGATACCATTGTTGGTATCTTTAAAATATGTATGGGTGCTTCTACTATTATTTGGTTATTTTAAAAAAGTACGCACTCTTTCTTAAACAAAGTTCTTTTCTTAAACAAAGTTCTCTTGGAGAGATTAACTTCAAAACTTGAAGAGATAACTATGAATTCAAAATGCAAATTATGCACATACTTTCATTTCACAGGTGCTATATAGGTGCACTACATCCCATTACATTGTGCTCTAATAATTATTTAATTTCCACATACAGCTATGTGACCCAACTTCTCTAGATGACTCCCCACTTCTACTAGATAAGTACCCACAAGAGATAACTCAAAACTACTCATAACTCATCACTTCTTACAAGATAACTACCCACTAACATAGAGTGAGAGAGCCAATCACACGGACATCAACCCCTACAATTTTGCATCACATTTTCTAGCATTCTCCTTTGATGCAAAATTTTTTTTTTTCAAAAAAAAAAAAATTTCTAAATGAATTTACGAAGTTCTTTACTTTCCTCTTTTAATGTAAACACCAGGGTTTCAAGACTTTTAATATACTTTTTTATTTGATAAATTTATTCTTCCCTTGCAATCTTCATATTCTCTTCTTGATCATGTTTAATTTCAATTACTTCTTCATTTTTGCCAATTACGATATGGCAAAAGAAGTTTCACTGTGTTCGGCTTCTTTTCCTGTATCCATAGGAAAACGTAAAAATTCTCTTCCTCCCCTTTCTATCTCACAAACAAATATGAGTCAATGCTCAAGTTCTTCTTTGATAATTTTGTAAATTGGTTTTTAAATTTCTTACTTTTGATAAAATTCATTCAGCTTGCTTTTTGGAGTAGGAATTGATATATGTTCTTGATGTCTTTTCTACCAAAAAAATTTGCAACAATTAGTTTTCCTTTTATTTTCTTTTTTGAAACATTTTTCTCCCCCATTTTTTTTATACCTTCTCATGACATCATCATGCCTTTTCATGGCATGAAACACTAGGAATGTATGTCTTTTTTTTTTTCTCTTTCTCAAAAATCATTTTTCTCTTTCTCATCATGCGTTTTCATGGCACGACATACTAGGACTGCAATGTCCTTATTTTCTTTCTCAAAAATCAAATTTTTTCTGTCTACATTAGGCATGGATTCCCATCATGCCTTTTCATGGCACAACATATTAGGACAGCGGATCGTTTTTTTTTCTTATTTTTTCTCAAAATTCATTTTTTTTCTATGCCTACACTAGGCATAGATTTCCCATGAGAATTACTCGTTCCCTCTTTCATAGCAATTTTTATTTTTTAAAACCTCATTTTTTGGAAACTTTTGCAAAATATGACATCAAGAGTTCTCCAATTATGCTTTCCCCCTTTTTTTAAAATCTCATTCTTTTCCAATAACACTCAATTCTTTTATTTTTATTTTTTGTTTTCTTCCATTCTTTTTTTTTCATTGCAAAAGGCTCATTTTTTTTATTTTGTAAAATCACTTAGTTCTTCTTTTTTTTTTACCAAGACCCAAACATTATTTTCATTTTAATTTTTAAATACTCATAAAATTCACCTTTGAAAATTGGAGTAGATGGTTGAGAAATATTTGAGCTACTAGTGTTTGCCAAGTGGAATAATACAGGAAATTAAATAAAGAGATTTAAATTTCTATCACCTCTCCAAGTAATAAATCTTCACACCAATGTCTATCTATTTGGGCTTATCTTTTTTAGCAACATGTGCGCTCTCCAATGCTTATCTCTTTTTTTTTTCTTGTTTCTTTTTTTGGCAACGGTGCTCTCTAATACCTATCCTTTTAGCAACCTGAACTGTGATACATGTTGGATTTTTGGAAAGATATGATACCATTATTGATATCTTGAAAATATGTGTGGGTGTTTCTACTACAATTTGGTTACTTTAAAAAAGTACGCACTCTTCTTAAGACAAGGTTTTTTTTGGAGAGATAACTATGTACTCAAAACGTAAATCATGTATGTACTTTCATTTTACATGTGCTACACAGGTGCATTACCGCCCATTACATTGTACCTATTTATGGGCCTTTACAACAGTTATTTAACTTCTACTAATAGCTACGTGACTCAACTTCTCTAGATAACTCCCCACTTCCTACTAGATAACTACCCACAAGAGATAAATCATAACCACTCACAACTCATAACTTCCCACAAATCATAAGTTCCTACTAGATTACTACCCACTAACATAGAGTGAAAAAGAGCAAATCGCACGGATCTCAACCCTTACAATTTTGCATTACAATATTTTGCATCCCTTCTTTTAGTTTATGAGTTTGGAATTGAAACCCACAACCAAGGGTGCAAATTTAGGCAATGAATTAGAACCTGATTAACAAAAGTTAGCTCTTATAATGCGAGTTTATGAATAAAATTTGTTTTGGTTTTTTGATTTGCTTGCATATGTTTTTCCTTGAGGTAATTAGGGTCACAACTTCTTAAAGTTCATGATAGTTGAATGCCAGAAATCGTTTCTAACTGTACCTTAAGAAAAGAGGTCTCTAGTTCATGTCCTGAAGCATCATCCTTTATTGTGGAGGAGTTGTGATGTTAATAATGCCTCTCCATTATTCCATAGGAATGAAGAAGGTATTCCAGCCATTTTTCTCAATAACATCCGTTGCTGTGCAGTTTTCTTCCTCTTCTTTATTTGACTTGGGGCTCAAAAGTTTTACCTGGTGATTATGTTCAAAGAAGAAAATTTTATTCCTGTTCTTCCCAGTATGGTATGAGGAAGTCTTCTTCATCTATAACCATAGAACCATATTTCCATCAAAATAATTTTCAATCTTTGTAATAGAGCTTTCAATTCGGCCTCATTAGAATAAAACTTTGTACTTAAAGTTATGAATTCTTAAAAGTAAATAATAAATTAAATTAGTACCTTTTTGGTAGTCAGATGGTGCTGGAACAAGATAGATGGACTTCGATTTCCTCTGGATTTTAATTTTGGGAATTAATGAAATTTTTTTTTTGCTTGTTTAGGGCATATATTAGGTATTTAGTTTCGTAGGGATCTTTGGTGTAATTTATAAAAATATTCATTACTTACTAGTTGTGTCTTGTATAAGGTTGAGGCCCTAAGTAATCAAAGTAAGGTATACCTCTATATAGTATTGGAAGATGATTTTTTAGTAGCGAAAATTTTTATGATAACCTGAAATTTATTTTCATCTCTAATTACAAAATTTAAAGCTTCAAATAGAGTGTAGATTGAGCAGATTTATAAACACTTGAAAGTGTTGAAAATTGTCAGCCCAGATATTGCATTACAAGATGCACTACTTCGTAAACTTGGAATCCATTTTTTTTCATGTTTATCCATCTCGAGGTCAAAATGATCCAAATGAATACATCAGCAGGGAATATATGGTTTAAACAAAAAAAAGAGGATATTTCCTAGATAAATGGATCCATAGAGAAAAATGGAATATATTTATTGAGTTTCAAGTAGGTTCATAAAAAAGTAAAGGTCTCATTTCTCATGTTTTATTTATCGTTTGTATAATGGGTTGGGTAGTGGAAGTTGAAGTTTCTTTTCCACTTGTATTTGATATAGCTTCCCAGCCTTTGATTAAGGTCTTGAAGCTTATGATGATCAGGGGCTGAGCCAGTACGGCACTACAATTGTAATTACAACAGTGTGTCGGAAAATGTGATTTCAAAATATACGGTACAATTAAAGGAGGTTCACGGACGGTGGATATCACAAAGAATAAATGATGAATTGATTTAGGAGGTCGAATGCGATTGAAAGTTTTGTGTTAATTCAGCTTATAATTTACTGTTTCATGACAGAATGAGATGGAGTCGAAGTTCTTTGAAGAAAATTTGGACTTGGCGTGTTCCTTAAAACTTTTTTTTGTGGGTGTTGTTGCAACGAAAGATTGACAATTGATAAACTTATAAAAAGGGGTAAGATCTTGACTAATATATACTTTTTTTGTACGGAAAGTGATGAGAATGGAGACTACTTGTTTCTACATTTTTTTTTTTAACACTTTTAAGATATAGTGTTGGAATTTGAAATGCTTTAACAATGCTGAGTAGTCACACTGGTATTTCTAAACATTTGAGCTTTGAGGCACTACGTAAGATAGAAGGAATGCTTTGGCAAATTTCTAGGGCAGCAGTGTTGTTGGAGGTGTGGTCAGAGCGTAATAGAGGAGTTTTTAGGGTGTTAGTCTGGAAGTGGAGTTGGAAGAAAAAAGGATCTTGTACACTATATGGAGTTGGTTTTCAATAACCAAATAAGGTTTTGGTTTCTCCAAGGTAAATTTAGATGTTAATTTTAATAATCTGATCACTAAAAGAATAGTGAAAGTTAGACGAAAAGAGCGATGGGAACCGCCTATGGCCAAGAGTGTGAATCTTAATTTTGATGAGAGTACATTTAGTAACCCAAGGCCTACAGGTTATAGAGGAATCATTAGGGATTCAAATGGGGATGTTATTTTTTGTTATGCAAGTGCATTAATGTATTTTGAAGCAAATAAATTGGAGTTGGAGGCCCTTTCACTAGGCTTATGCTTGTTGGTACAAAGACAAGCTATGCGACTAAGTTTTGTTGAGGGCAATTCATTGAATGTCATCAATTGGTGTAATAAGGCGATCAGACTACCTTAGAAATTGAAGCTATTTGGAGTTGTGTAAAGGCTTGGAAGTTTCATTCCGGCATATATATATATATATATATGCCGGAATGAAATTTTTAAACCTTTATACAACTCCAAAACTTGCATCCATAGCTTCCTTAAGGCCAATGATTTTGTGGATGGTGTAGCACAAAGGGTTCTTGGAATGGATTCCATTCAGGTTCGTATATCTTGTTATTTCATTGTAACCTTTTAGTAATTAATAAAATTATGTACCCTTATCAAAAAAACAAAAAAAAGGGA